GACATTACAGCAGTCAAGGAGATGCCCTGAGCTACAAGTCTAGGTTGAATCCTAAATTAGTGGAAGAGCAATATGAGATTTTCCAGCACCCTCCTCCAAGAACCCAGCACTAGCCCATCCCCTATGTGTAGAAGGGCAAAGGAATCCCCTTTTGCCAGGTATTTATCAGCAGACTTCCCCTGGTGGGTTGGAAATCCCTACTGGCTATTTGTGGCCAGAATTGACAGGCTTCTCACTGCTTGAATCACGGTGTGATGCTGAATCATAACAGAGAACCTGGCCTCATAGAGTGAGCTAAATTCACTACTCTGGAAACAGTCTTAGACTGTAATTTAATCCGGTGTGAAACTACAGGTATCATCTCATGCAAAAAATCTGTCTCTGAAGAAAAATGACAAAAGGTAGGCAGAGCTTACAATTTGAGGAAAACTGATCTGATTAGCCCCATCCTCACAAGTGTTGTGGAAGTATGAGAGCCCTGCCAGCATTTCCATTTAAAGAAAAGTAACAGCAGCACAAGTTAATACTGCCAAGAAGAGTGTGGTACATCAGGGTATTTCGCTGACAGCAGCCTGCAGGCCAAATCTGGCTTTCAGGGTCAAGAGCTGCTGCCATCTTTGTGCCAGAAGAAGGGCCAGAGCTGGAGGTGTTCCTCTTCTTGCAGCTGCGCATGGCCTTGTGCAAGGCCTGCAGCAACATTCCCAGCTCTCAAAGCCAAAAAAGTGGGATCATTATGCCCATTTTACTCAGCAGTTAACATGCAGAGTTGTTGTCTAGATACAACAGGTATGGCATGGTATGTATGTGTATGGTACAAGATGACATGTGCTTAGATGAGGTGTTTCAAAAGATTAATTTCTCGGCTCTATTCAAATATACTGGACTGTGAACAATTATACTATGGTGCTTGTGGTAATTTGTCCACTTGTCCTCTTACTTTTCTTCCATTTCCATGGAGAGGTAACAGCAGCAGTTTCCATGCCATACACCAGGCTGTCTAAGGTGTTTCCAGAGATAGACATTGCATACAATCTCTATTAGACTCAGCACAGTGACCAATTAGGTTAATCTCAGAGGCAGACTCCTTGGGAATATCTCAGAGCATCTATTCTTTCTCAGGCCAGGGTTTCTGTTTTAAAGAGATGCAGCATCATCCAATTAAATGAACAACAGGTGCGAAAGGTAATAACCTAGACCTCTTTTGTATCTGAAGACAGCAGTCAGAATTCAGCTTGGTCCTAACCTCTCCCAAAAGGTCAAAACTTCTCTCCAATTACTAAAGGAATGAACTAATGAAAACTTCAGCAACAATATTAAATTGGACATGACAACATCCAAGAGATTTTTTATATATATTTTTAAAGAAGCATCTCAAGCTGCTGGGGTTTGGGGTCACCAGAAGTCTGTTTAGCTTAGTGCAATCATAGCCTTAGGGGCCAGATGTAGTCAAAGACAAAGTCTATCCATTCAACTCCCTCAGTCCTGATTTCCCACAGTGGACCTATCTTTTGCATTCCTACATCCAGGAGAAAGGTATATTAGTAAAAAATGTAATCTATCACCCGAACTGGCACCGGGAAGCCAGCAAACCAGAGTTCTACAAATGACTCTGCTGTGACTTCCTTTGTAGCTTTAACAGTTCCCCTGCAGAACACGGGTAACACCCTACACTTACCTCACTAATAAATCGTGTGCATAACTTTAGGCACTGTCTTTACTAAAAGATGCTCAGATCATAAACAGACATCCTCTCCTAGCTCTAGCTGTGCTGGCTAAAAATATCACCCATTTCCTCCTACCCTGCTGCTTTTCACTGCTTGTCCCCTACAGCTTACTGCTCTTGCACCTCCCGCCAGTAGCAATACTTGCGTGAGTGCTCCCTGATCTACTTCAGGTAAGGCCATTTGATCTGTTTGAGCAAACCCAGCTGACATTGCCTGGAGGAGCTGAGGGTGAGCTCATAAAACCCCTTCTGCCACCAGAAGTAGTCTCCAGCAGTACAGCCAGCTTGGGTTAGTCTTCAAGTAGCACACTTGTTTGTTTGCAATGGGGAAAAGCCTGCCTACACCATGAGTGACAACAGCTAGGTCACTCAGTCAGCACAGCCCTCTTGGGAGACACAGCATGTACAAATGGAAGTTTTTCCCTACCACCACAGTTACATCATTGGCCCAAATGACACCAGCTAAGCTGACAAGAGCATTCCTTTTCATGTGTCTCTATATATCTCATCTTTCATGAAGCCATGTATCTCTATCAGATCTCAACAGGCAGTGAGATGCCAGGAAAGAGCATGAGGGTTTTGCATGCTTTTAGCCATGTCAGAATTGCAACCGTCCAAGCTCTACAGCACAGTCTTGGCCTGAATGACCCCTCTTAGCCCTCTTGGAAGTTCCCAGGCTGGGATTTCCCCTGCACCTTGTGCAGTTATTTAGCAGACAAATACACGGTGCCATTCAATCCAGATGGCAGAATTTAGAAGAGATTGAAATAACCATGCAAGGAGAAGAGTAGTAGAAATGTTCCTAAGTGGCAGGCAATCTTCCCCACCACACAGAACTGTAATTACATTAATATTTTAGGTACTTCCTGTCCTTTGACTAGAAAGAGTTAGTGAGCTCACATTTTTCTGCTGACTTGCCTCTGTTGTAGGAACTTTGTATCTCCTGCTGCAAAGGAAATCCTGCTACAGGAAACAATCCATTTTGCTCAGGTGAAAATGATCACAGAAGTAGCAAAGCAGAGATTTATATAGATCTAAAATAAAACCACATAATTATTAGAGTTTACTTTGCCTCTGAGGTCAATCTTGGAAAAAAAACCCAGCTATAGCCAATACTTTAAAGATAAAGTTACTAATCTTGAATGGGTAGCACTTTCAGTTCCTCAGTCATGATACGTATGACAAATAGAATACACATGTAAGAAAACACAAAAATCTACTCAGTCAATAGTTATTAACCGCACAGAACACTTACAATGAGAAATCGTATTTTATGTTCTCTACAAAGTCATCTTAAGCCTAGACAATTAAGGTTATGTTTCTTTGAGTTATTATTTCTCTTGAATACACAGGAACAATCATTTTCTTACTTGTATAAATCTACTGACCTCAGCAGACGTACAGCAGGGATATACTTGATTCATGCTATATAGGGGAATTCCCAAGAGGGCTGTGAATTAGATTTCCTTTTCTCACCTCCTTCCCCCAGTTCTACCAGCAAATGGAAGTAGGGCAGATTACGGGCATTTCTCTCCTGAAGTGTCGTTATTACTCATCAAAAAGGAACAGTAAAAGTTAGAAGAAAGAGGTGAAACAGATGCACTGTGTCCTCCAACACATCATCTCACAGTTCCCTCAGCATAAAGAATGCCCTGTATTGACAACACACTTGAACTAATTCAAAGGTCTAGGCACAGGATCTCCTGCACCTGGAGCACACCCCGTGGGAGCAGAGAAAACCGTAAGTACAAACCCACACATTGCTTTAACTCTGAGAAGTGACGTTCCAAACACCTGTGCCCTTGTTCCTGTAGATACTTATGCAGCATATAAGAGGAATTCTTCAGTAAAGTCAAGAAAAAGCACTTGCCACAACTAGCTTTCAGAAACTCAAATATATGATGGTTGTTCCCCTATACACCAACTTTCCTTGCACGTGTTTTGCTTCCGGCTTGCCTCCTGTTCTCAGCACCACCTAAGCTCAAGTATCAGACTGAGGTGATTATTACTGTAGAACAGTTAAAGCAAATAAAAAAGCCTTGTAATTCACTTAGTAATTAGCAAAGCTTGCAGAAGTGTGCTGCTGCGATTATCACCGCACAAAAAAGATTCTCTCTTCTACTCAAACAACTTACTCTTTTAGCAAGTTTGACTATTCTTAAAGACTCCAGTTGTTTAACACATATCCCAATCATGCTAGATCAGATCTCAGATCCACCTTTGGCCCTGTGTGTTCATCAAGGTCTTCAAAGACCCATGATGAAACCCTGCCTGTGACCAAATGTCAGGTCCCAGTTCAGCAAAGCACCCCATTGACTGTGCAGGTCCCCTTCAATTCAAAGTTAGGCAGATACCTGAATGCCTTGCTGAGCGGAGATGCCAGCTGAACAGACAGCACATGCTTCGGTGCACTTTTAGAATGAGGTCTTAGAAGCAGGTACCTGTGGGCAAGCCTGTTCAGGTCAGTTTATCATGTTTTCCCAGCTGGAACTAGCCAGAGCTAACACATTACTTCCATTTTCTTTCTGGGATGTAATACACTGCAGTAGTTAAAGCTGTAGGTCACAAAAGTGTAATCTAGGGATCATGAGACAGTCATTAATCAATCAACCAGTGGAAATAGGAGCTGGTAGATATCATTATCTCTACATTACAGATGAGACACAAAGAGTTTGCATAACAAAGCCATAGAGAAAGAGAAGGCACTTTTCTTATTTCCCAGTTTCGCTCCATCTTTTCTTCTGAAATTTTTCTCACTCTTCAAGACTTCCTTCCCAACTGCAATCCACCAATTTTCTTCATTCAGAGGCAAAACTGACTCCATGTCATCCCTGAAAGCTAGCTGAAGCTCTTCTATACAAAAATCAGTTAAAGAAATATAAGAGCAACCTTTCTTTTTTCCAGACGTGCTGTAAAAGCTACCTGAACACTGCAGTGACAATGACAATGACAAGCAAAGGCAATGACTAAACGTGAATTTGGACATGGGACTAAACTGCAGACTAAGTCTTCACTTGTCTGCACCCCAATTAGTACAGAATGGAGATGAGTATAACAGTGGTCTATACACAGGACCAGGAAAAGATTGACAAGTAACTGAAGGAAAAGAACTGAGGGAGTCAACTGTCAGAGCAAGGAGAGGTTACAGAAAAAACGAGAGAGAGAGGTTAGCCCATTGCCCTGGAGTAATGGCTAGCCTTTAACACATGGCCTCTGCTCCTGTCAGTATTTCTTCTTGGACAGGTTATCTCAGGAATTTATGCTTTCCAATAATTACCTTTCAGAGGGCTCTCACTTATCTTGCAAGAGGAATCCACCAGTAACCTGACCTACATTGCTCATGCAATCGCCATCCACCCCCTCTAACCTTTCATCCCATTTCTCAAAGCAAAAGCAAGCAGTTCTTCCCAGACTTCCAGTGCTACATCAGCAAGGGCTGGTGAAGTTGATAAAAATAAGAGTTTTAATGCTTAATGCTACACAAACATTGATGAGCTTGCAGGCAAAAGCAGTAAAATATTACTAGCAAATTAAAATACCTCTTGTAGTAATGTTATATTATCCATAACTGAAGGATGAACACTGGTCTTGCACCACCATAAGAAGCATTTTTACCTGAGAGTAAGTTTTATTATTTTATTGCAGCAGACCTCAGAGCCAATCAGTATTGATTTTAATAAATCTGGGGACTCACAGGGCCCTCTGTTTAAGTTCTCTTCCTGTTACCCTCCCAATCTACCTGTCTTCCACTAAGTGAATTGCTTTTCTTCTTGAAACATCAGCACCAAAGGGAAGCTTTTGCTTTTGGCATTCACTCCGGAGCCATTTCAGTTGAACGTGTCCATCTCTGCTAAAGTATACCTTATTACACTCAGTGTAATTATACTCCCATTCATGCTCCGAACAAGTCCCTCCCAGGCTGCCTTTTTGTGTAAGGGACTCCATTACACCCTGGATAAGCTGATGGGCACCCACTTATTCCCAGTACCACGGCTGGGACAGGGAGAAGGATTCCTATTTTCTATTCTGGATGTAATGAGACATCTCTTCAGCCAGTCAGTAATCATAAGGAAATACTTCATCATGAAGTTCTGAGAAAGCATCAGGCCTGACACAAGGAGTAAAAAGTCATATAATATCCTACATGGGACCCTAACACCAGTCCAGAAATGTATGGTCAGGGCACACAGACCATCAAATCTCTGTTACAGCATGGATTTGCCTCAAACGGGCTTGCAGTCACTTCAGACAGGTACCCAGAGGAATCTCTCTCCCTTTTTCCTGCACTGGCTACGCAACTAACTTTGGCCTGGGAGAACGTCCATGCCTCACTCTGGCTGCATTATTTTAAAGGAGTCGCATATTGCTTTCAGACCCGTGAGAACTTTGGACCAACGCACATGCTCGCCCTGGCATTCCCATACTCCCATCTGAACAGGACTGTACCACAAGAAAGAGTTTGATGTGGGGAGAGCATAAGAGGGGAGAGCAAGAGAAAGCTGCTCTTCCCTCATTAAACTTCAATAGGTGCCTAGGCCCAGCAATGCTGCACTACAGTTTGGATTTATGTTCCCCAATTAACACAATTCACAGCATAAAGTTTTCTTTTTCTGTTTTGAAGGGGGAGGAAGAGGAGAAAAACCACATTCCAAGCATTTGGCACAACAAACTTCCCCAGCTATCCTCTGGGAACAAAAAGGGAGGGAAAAAAAGGCTTGTCACCACACAATTTAAAATAACCCGTCTTTGCTGGCTCCACTCTGTCTCAGGGGTAGATCCAAGTCTTAGCCCCCACCCATTAGGGCTGCAGGCCCAAAGCACTTGACATTCATCAGGAGAAGCAAAACAGCTCCAAGGCAATGGAAGGGGGAAGGGAAGAGTCCCTCCGTGGGCAGGAGTTGAGAAGGGAAGAAAATGGAACGATCTGCAAAAAAGTCACAACATAAGGAGAGTATGGAAGTCTTCTGCTTCTGAGGACCACCACACACAGATGAATCATCTTGGTGTAGTTGCTGCTGAGCACAAAGCAGGCAGGTAAATGTCTCCTCTGTCCTCAACTGGGGGTTCTCCATTGTGGTTAACTTAGGAACTGCTGTTATTTGACACTGACATTGTTGGCTCTATCACATGCTCAACAGAATGACTATCTCCTTTCTCTCCAAACATACACTCTCCCCTCTTCTCCCCAAAGAGAACCACAAGTCATATGCACTGAATACTAAAAATCTCATCATCTTTGGTGAGAGTTAGGAGAGAAAAGCCCTTCGGATATTCTTTCTTTGGAGCTTTACGTAACATACACTAAACAGTTGCACACTGAATCTTTCTCAGCATAGAGAGAAAGATTAGGAGATAGCACCATGTCACTCAGTGAAACACAGGACATTTTCGCAGAAGCCAGAAAATAATCTAATGAATTACATAGCTCAACAATGCTCAACCTGAGTTCCTGAAAACATCTCATGTGGGTTCTGGAGAAATCTGTAGGCTTAATCAGAACCTCTCTTTGCTCAACAAACAAGAAGGCTTAGCCAATATCTCAAAGCACTAGAGATTGTTCTTTACTCTTTGATGTAGTCAAAGAGAGAGGCAGAAAGATGGAGAGATGGGAAGCAACTCTCTTCACCAGCAGTCAGGAAGAAAACAGAATTGCAGAGTTCTACAAGCTAATCATGGCGTGATGATCTGACACTGTACTGACGCATCTGCTCACAGCTTACCATCAATACGCAACAATGATGACAAAGCATCAAAGACAGCACATCACAGCACAGCATCAGGTTACCACACCCTGGTGATTATGTCGCTTCCTCTCAGTCCATTCAAGAACCAAACTTTTCCAGTTTGACTGTCACTGATCTATAGTGTTGCCCATACACAGACAGATTACATATACTTACAAATGAATCACTGCCACATTGATTCTTGCTTATAAGGGTGCCATGAATGACTTCAAATACTTTACATTGTAGGAGCTATAAGAACTCACCTTTGGTTTTTGAATGCAAAGACTACCTGGTGTTTATTTGACATTTTTTGTGTTTAGATACAAACCCTTCCAGGTCATTCTTGTTGCAGGGGCAATGAAGAGCTGGGGGATCTCTTGCTTTCCGTGTAACTTCTTGCCAGAAAGAAGTTCAATTACAAGAACATGATACACTTAGATGAATAAATTCATGGCTTGCTTTCTTATATTCCTTCTTTTGGTCTAGCAAGCCAAAAGACTGAAGGAAGAAGGGGAAGTACAAGTACAGAGTATGCTAAAGGAAAATGAACCTGTAGTATGAAGCCAGCTGATAAACAGCTGTCATCTATGTCTTCAGTCAGCATCATCTTAGATGAAATTTTGTCTGTTCCCACTAAGCAGCTCCTACTCCATTTTACCCTTCATAAGTCTGTCCATCAGCTGATGAGGTTTCTCAATTTTGCCTGGTGCATCCAAAAGTGGAGAAACAGCTGGAGTCTGCTGCAGCATCTGGCAAGCATCTGTAGCAAAAATTCCTAGAGGATTTGAGGTGATAGCAGGTATGGTTATAATTTACTATAGGCTGACATGTTTTCAAGATTGTTTTTTATATCCAAAATCTGACACTTTTCAGAATCTTTATGCTGCATGCTTTTGCTTAGGTTTGTTTGCTTGTCTGTTTTCTGTTAATTCTACCTACATAAAAGAGAAAATCTTGATAAAATACTGGAGAAGAATCCCAGAACATGTGGTTCTGCAGAAAGAAGGGGACCAAGTTCTAGCAATATCCACTTTTTAGAGAGTTGTTAATGTTCCAAAAATGGCAGTACGAATATAATATTTTATTTCTGTAATTACCTGCTTCTTTCAGGGTTGTATGTTCTACAGTCACTTGAGGAACATGTTTATGTTATGTCCTGAAGGACCAAACTGGCTACCATAGGAATATATTTCCATGTGATTGCAACTGCCAATACATTAGAGTACAGAAACAACACAGAAAAAAAGGTGGAAGCAGAAAAAAATGCAACTTGATTTTCTAAAACATTTAATATTGCAGGAACAGATAAATTATGACAAATTACATTTTAACTTCCGTCTGGATTTAAGGCCTGAATCTGAACTTCAGAAACATCATTTGCCCATGCGACTGTACACTTGGTCGCCATTAAAGCTTGCATAGACCAAGCACTCCATTCCCATTTCTCCTAGTATTTTACACTTTTTTTGCTAAGGTAAAAAGACTGCACAAGATGGAAGAAGAATGAGGCCACAGCTTTGGTGTTGGTATTTGCCTATGTATTGAGGGATTTGTTCAAAGACTGCTGGGCTGAAAAGACAGGTGTCAATCCAAATCAGTCCAATGGGGAAACTGTTGATCATGGCTCCCACTGAAGAAAACAGCAATACCATTGGGAATGACAAATTTGAATAAGGAAGAAAAGATGGCAAGGAAAGAGTGAAAAGGGAGCAGTAAATGGAACAGCACACAACAGGGACTGCATGTCTTTAAACAACAAAGAACTGGAAATTACAAACTGAAAGATGGAGCCCAGTCTCCAGCAATGCCATAAAATAACATACAAAGTATTTAGTGCACAGAGGTCCACAAAAAACTGGGTACAAATACTCAGTATTCTAAAAAACCTTAAGATCTATTGTAAAAAAACCCAGGACTCTCAAGTACTATAATCTGCCCCAGAAAAAGAAAAAGGACATCACCAATGTTCTAGGACATGCACAATTCCAAGGGATTCATGGGATGAATATGCTTAGATGGGCCCAAGAGGTGATCCATATTCCATGCTACAGAGAAAGGCAAAGGAGGAGACCAAGACAACACTTGACAAGCATCTCTAGGACTGTGGACTCCCGCTATCCATCCTTCTTTTCCTATGACAATGCATAAAAGGGAATATCAGACCTCAAAACTGTATATAAAGGCCCATTGCAAATGCTAGAGCTGAAACAACATGGTAGAGGGAAGCAGGAAAAGTCAGGTCAGGCACAACTTCACATCTCCCCAGATTTGGGAGCTTCACAACGTAATATTTGACTGAAACTTTACCAATAGTTTCTATCTTAAACTTGACATTCCGGCACATGTCCTATTTTCACTGGAAAAACAGGCAGGAAGGGGTTGAAGTCCAAGTTCAAGAACCTTAACCTGGACTTCTGGTAAAGAAGTCTTTTCTATCCTGATATACCCCATCTTTCTTCCTGTATTCCAGCTACCACCTGCATATGGTACTTAGAGTATTTCCAAATCAAACCACTCAAAAAATCATGAGTTGGGTCCTGTTTCTGAACTGGTAGATTATTTTAGATGTAGATATTTCTACAGCCAGCAGTGCCAAAATTTCAGCTATAAAACTTAAATTTTCATGCAGTCCCTGGCTTCCAGGAGGTGGAGTTGCTAAGAAAGTAACAGATTTTGAAAGCATTAACAGAATCACTGTCAAATGCCTAGAAAATAAACACAGAATAATACTAGCATGTTAGTCCCTAACAAACATCTTAGTAAAAGTTGGCAATTTGAGTTCAGTGAAACCACTTTCTCCACCAGCCAGGTCTCCCTTAATTAAACAAACTCTAAATACAGCCTGTTTTTCTCTTGTGAAGAAAATGCTTTTCTGGAAGAGGGCTGACTCAGTTCCTGAGTACTTCAGAGTACTTTTGACTTCCATGAGTGCAAAAGGAGAATCAGGACACTTTGTACTAGTCTTCCTACAGCTCTGTAACAACAGAAGACATTTTAGAGGGATTGACAAGACTTTAAAAAGACCATATTGAAGAAGACAGTTTAGGCTACTAAAATTAAAGTAATTAATCAATCCAAAGGTAATTCTCATCATTTAGCCTGGTAACTGTTTTGCCTTCCTAGGTTTGACCATGAAACTTACAGTTTGCAATCTGTTGCAGTCCCTGGAGCTTGATTCTGTCTTTAATAAACCAGAAAAATAAACTATGGGCAGAGACTGAAGCAGGACCAGGAATCCTTCCTGTCCCCACTTTTATTCAGCCGGCATGCCGCAAAACTGGCTGATGAAGTGCAAGTGTCAGGACACAGCAGAAGTCACAGCCCACTACACCCTCCAATGACTTCCCCATAGCTATAGAGTCAAGACTGGAAATAAAAATGGCTGCCCTTTTTTGAACAAAAATGGGTCCTCAATTTAGAACACAAACATATTTTTTATTTGCCTTCTCCCTTTCCTGAAATGTCTCAGGGAGAGGGTCTGAAAATATGAGTCACTCCTCACTGTAAATCTAAATTTTCCCAATTCTAGCCCACTGAAAATCCATTGAATACCACCAGGCTAAGCAAGGATGGACTTTGTCCTACCTTTCTGCTACAGATAGCATTTTACTGTCATTAAGGGAATAAAATAATCATAAGAGCATAATGACAGCATGTGTTTTGCTGGCTGCTGTTCTTCACGTGGGGCAATCACTGGCAATTCTCAGATTTAATCTCTCCCCTTCCCCAACCATGCAGTTGATTATCGCTCTCATTCCCAGTTAAAAATCCTTGATCAGCGTAAAGCACATAAAGGAGTCTCTGACCCCAGCTAAGGGAACAACAAGAGATGACATTTGGTTCTTTGAGAGAGGAGTAGATAAAAAGGAAAAATGACAGCTGGAGTCTGGAGGAGCTAGTTAGTGGATTGCAGGCCCAGGAGGGTGCAGGGTGGGGGCCCACGAAAGAGAAACAATAAGAGACTGCAGCCAGACTGTTCCCTCTCCTTCCCTAGGTCTCCTTTGAGTCAGTGAGAATGACTGCAGCAGATGTCAGGACCCATGGGGATCACTCCTTTGGATTTCTTATTTCTTCAAAAAAAGGTAACCTAGAAAATAGAAGAAATATTGGAGAAAAAAGAAAAATGAACCAATATCTCTGCTTTGACATGTGGGAATGTATACAAAGGTAAGTGCCAACTTGTAATGACCTGTGGTATGTAAATACGCTTAAGCCAGCGGGAGGAATTTTTCTGGGTCTGGTCCAACAGGGGCAATCATTTACAGGATTTGACTGGGATTAACCTGTGGTTTCCACTTCAGGATACAAAGGAGAAATACAATAAGCAAGCACAAGGCAAGCAGTAGTTGTGAGGAGCATCCCTGTGCTTCTCCAGCACACACAACGCAGCCAGACCTGGCTTGCAAACACACCTGGCAAGCGTGTCTCAGTTCTGGGAACATCCCCAGAAAGCAATCAATATGCATACGCATGCGTGGACCTGTGTGTGCTCACACATGGGTGTGTTTCTCAGCATGCTGCACCAAACACACAAGATTTCATACATTTCTAAAACATCAAATCTCATTCAGCATTACTCGGGACACCAGACATAAACCAACAAATTTTAGTCAAAGGCATTTTAGGCTAGATTCACTGCCACTGGTGTAATTCCCTTGAAGTCTGTGGAATCACACTAGGGAGAAAAAGGTTGGCTGTTTAATATTTGCAGCTTGCCAAATTGTGCATCTGTGTTGGTTCTTTTGTTTTGGAGACACAATTCTACAAATTATCATTATGAAAGAGATTAATTTTTGTTTTAAAAAGATCACATTCTCAGGGCACAGGAAGAAGTCCACTTCCATGCACCAAGTCCCTTTTCCTCCATTCCACATACCCACAGATGGACACTCCACTTTTTCAAATTTGCACATCTGCAAAGGTGTAGAGAGACATTGACAATTTTAAAGGCTTCACACTAGAAGTAATTTCCTGTGGCAGAACAACCTAGCAATGACAGTGTTGGACGAACCTTCCTATCTTTCCAAGATTCGTGTAAGGCGTTTTAAAAGAGACATTCAAGTGAAAATTGTGTGTTTTGGCTTTGTGCATCAGGAGCAAGAGGAAGACCAGGGACTGCAGAAGAGACAAGAATTCTGACCTCTGAACATGCTTTTGCCCACTTTTATAGCAGGGAAGTTGCATGCATTTGAGGCATGCTCATTGCTAGCAGAGGGGTTTTAACCCAGATTCTTCCAAAATCTGTAATTCCCTGCTTTATAACAATAGGTTTTAAAAATATAATAGTTTGGAGGTTTCCCATTTCATCATTCTGGTAAACCCACATTCAAAGAGGAGGAAGTTGTGTGAAGTCCTGAAAAATAAAAAACCACCCCACTACTGTTTTCCTTTGATGGGCTAGTCAGGAACCATCTCTCCAGACCACTTGTTTGACTCAAAGGCAAAAAGTAGTTTACAGCGAAATAAACAGCAGCTAATCAAGATGAACCTATTTGCTTATACAGACTTACTGGCTAAAATACAGCACCAGCCCTGAATACTATTTACCTTGGAGGTGGCAACAATGGAAAGTGAGCAACGGATTACACAGCTTCTCCACCAATTATGAACCAACATTTATCTCCTGTGTTCAACAACGGAGATTTAACTGGGCTCTCCAGCCTTTCCTTAATATTTCTCAAGCACCCAGTAATATACTCAGCACCTTGTCTAGCGAACACAAGCAAAGCCCCAGCACCAAAAACACTTTACAACACTCAACAGCAGTCTCCCACACCTGCACCTGGAGGGCAAAGATGAATGCTGTTACAGAAAAACGTGTGAGCACTCAGAGTCGGGGACTGTGTTAGTACATGTTTATGCGGTGCCTTGTGCAGCAGGGCCCAAAATCAGAGTGGAGCCCCTGGGCACAGGGTAGGTTTCTTCTTCATTATGAATCTAGGAAAAATCATGCAAGATAATACAAAAGACTCAGCTAATAAGGTTTGGGAAAGAATTATTTATCTGCTTTCTCTGTAAATACCAATAGCTCATTACTTGGGTTTCATGTTATTTTCATCTGAAAGGCAAACCTGCTATGATGGGAATGAACTCAGCCAAAACCAAAAAACAGGGCACCAGTGTAACTGGAAAAAGAGACCAATGGTCTGAGAAGGGGAAGTGCTCGGCATTCACCATGGGAAGGAAAAAAAATTAAAATAAAAAAAGGAAAGACAAGGAAGAACACTAATTAAAGACACAGTGTGGATGCAGGAGAACACACAGAGATCCCCCCCACCCCACCCCTGCCATCCGTATGACAGTGCTGCTTTGTGGAACAGAACAATAGGTACATTATACTAACCTATAATTATCCCGAGAAGAATGATAGCAAAGTCAAGGCATTACATGAACATTGGAATATTGGATACAATCCCATAAGAAGCAAGGGGGTGGAGGAGGAGCTTTAAAAAGAGATTGAAACCTTCCCAGCACAGAACATCAAAGAGGAAATTTCACGTTCTCTTCACATTTATTTGGGTTTTTCTTTTATTTGATGTGATGATTTAAACACAATTCCCTTTTTCATGCATTTCTTGGCTTCTTTATGCTGCAATTGGTTCCAGCACTGTAACATCCTCCTTCAACAGTATGGTGGATTTGGCGCAAGCAGGAGCTCAGCCTAGTGCGTGACTGCACCATGTGTATAAGCAGTGGGAGATGAGAAAGGTGGATGGAGATGTACTCCAACTCTGGACAAAGAAAAGCAAAAGGCTGGTGATTCAGTGAATGCATAATCAAGTGTTACCAAGACACAGGGCACACAGGCACTCAATACCTGCACTCTCATTCCAATCAGATAGCAGGTACTGAAATACAGGAAGCAGTGAGGCACAACTCTACACCTGTTTAAAACATGCCGCTTGCATTTGTAGTGTTATGCAGTGTTGGGGAAATACTGGAACAAAGACTTGGAGTTGTGGTTTTTTGCTTCTTCTGTTTGTTTTTAAGAGACAGCACGTTGCATTAGACACTTCACTCTTGTTCCAAAGTAACAAAAAAGAGTGGAGAAGCCTATCAATTCTGCAAAATGTGAATGTTCCTCCTTGATTTTTTTTTTTTTTTTTTTTTAGAGTAGGTAACTATGACAACCTGGTGTAAGCAACTGTATCACTTGGTCCACAGTGTGGGCCATGTAGAAGCAGGCAAAAAAGCAGACTAACATAAGCCCCTGTTCTGTGCTCATTCTAGGTGGACTCTGCTTCTCCCTTCCCTCAGACATGACTGATTGAATCCTGTTTCCTCCAGAGAGAATGTCCAATCACTCCAGCACACTGTGTCTCCAAATGATAAGCAAAGATTAAAAAAACCTCCTAACAAAACAAAGATCAGCCCTTGCGGGATCTTGCCATGCCATTTGTGTACAGCTGCACTCAAGCCCGAGTGTTCCTAGCAAAGCTTCCCTGCCTGCAGCATGGTCAGACGTGCCTCCTCTGAGCTACAAGCTGGTTGTGTTCTGTAGTTAGGAAATGCCGATGTGAAGAATTATTACAGGTATTTGCAGCCCAGTAGTGACAGGCTATGTTGCAGGCCAGCACTCGGAGCGCTGTTCCCAAATGCGATTCAGACCTCATCTAGTGTTCAAAGTTGGAAAGGGAATCCAGGAGCCCCTACTTTACACGAAGCAGGATACCTCTGATCACCCAGTTGGTAGCGTTTAACCTCTGCTGGAGAGCTCAGAGCTGTTGCCAAGTTCATGTAGGCCCAGAAACCACTGATACAGGTTGAGGCGAGTGCTGAACTTAGCAGGAAACGTGCGGCACTGCTGAGTGCAGGAAATGATCAGCCCATATCTCACCTTTGTGAGAGAAGGAATCCAGGTTCCTACAGAGCTCAAAAGGCAACAGGAACTGGAAGAGGCTGTTTTGCAGGGAGGCAAAAGTTCAATTTGCCCTGTTCAAGGGAGGAGCTCCCAGGCTGGAAACAACTTGGGACTGGGCCACTGGCTCTGAAGAAGTGAGGTACTTGCCCCGTCAGCTGTGTGACCATCAGCACCCTGCCTTTGCAGTCGTGTAGCAGCTCCTGAGCTAGCCTGCTGCAAGGTCCTGCGAGGGGAAGGCGAGAGCAGGGCTCTGCCTGAACCCAGCAGGCAGTCTGAAAGCAGCTTTTGCACACCAAAAGCCTGCAGTGTTGTAATTTTGGGAAAAGAAAGTAGAGGTACACGTTCTCTCTGCAGCCCTGCCTGCAGCCACAGCCAAAAGTCAGATCCCATGCTTAAGAAAATAGGATACTGTTAAGCATTCCCCCACTCACTTTGCTAATGGGTCCCTAGTCCCCTCTCATTTTTGGCTGCCCCAACCCAGCAGGGAGGGGAGTGGAAAGGATATGACACATTCCTGTGCTCCATCATGCCTCCTCACACCAAGCAGACAAAAAGACAGGAACATCTGCAAGAGAGATAAGCAGCTGTCTGGCTCTATTCAGCAGCATGGGGGCCTCTCTGTTCTTGCTAACAGGTGTTAATACAGACAGTGACCAAGAAGTGCTCTCAGTTGCACCAGGTTAAAAAGAAAAAAAATGGCATAACTCCACTGACTGGGGAAGAATGGTTCCTGATGTCATGCTCCTGAAGCTGTGAGCAGAATTTGGCACACAGACAACTACAGAAGTAAGTTAGAGGAGACAGGAATCATCCAAGACAGCCAAAACAACAGGGCATAAATACAGCTTATTTACAGAGAATGCTGGATAGGCCAGTGCTGACCCTTTTTTTTACTCTAGAACAGATAACCTCAATAATAACAACCATTTTTATTTGGACACTATGTAATGGAAAACTTACCCTTGCCATTTCACTCTTCTCTCACTACAGACACCCAAGCTGATCTCATAACCCTCCTCCCTCTGCCACATCCACACATACACTATTATCCTCCCTGTGCAGTGCAGCAACTCATATTTAATCTGTACCACAGGCTTCATGAGTTTGTAACTCTGCCCACCAAGTGTTGTCAAAAAGCCACCAGCTGGAAAGGATACTGGAATGAAATCTATGCAGCTCTGTGGCCTTCTGAGTGATTACAACTACGACACTTAAACCCGCTAATGTGCTAAGCATTTTCTGGCAAAGTTGGTGGGTTACTATGGTATTTTGGGAGGGGGCAGGAGCTTGAAAAGATGTCTTATGTCTTCCTTGGGGAGGAG